AGAAGCACTGCATATAGATTCAATCTCCTTAATACAGCTCCGAGGGAGGTAGAAAGCAGTTAGCCAGAAGTTTGTAATGCCAGAGATTACTGATGAAAGAAGCTGTAAACGACCTGCGTAAGATAAATGTCTAACAGTCCAAGTACCAATACTCGCACGAATACGTTCGATCAGTGGGGCATAGTCCATTTTCGTCATCTTCTTAGTCATCAATGGGAGTCCAAGGTATCGAACTGGTAACTGTCCAAGAGGGAATGGGAACCGTTCTATAATTGCTAAACTATTAGCATCAGATACACCAGCCATAAAAATTGTTGATTTAGTGAGACTCATCCTTAAGCCTGAAGCAACTGCAAAACGATCAAGGACATCAACAATGGCCTCGATGGATCTCTCCGTTCCATCTGTAAATACCATTAAATCATCTGCAAAACAGAGATAAGTTAATTTCTGTTTGGAACAGTGGAGATGATATCCAAACCGTCTCTCCAGGGCAGCCTTATCCAACATCTTCGATAAGACATTCATGCACAAAACAAACAAGTATGGAGATAGGGCACACCCCTGTCGTAACCCACGGTTGCTCTGAAAATAACCAACAAGCTCTCCATTCACTTGAACCGAGAAAGACGCAGAGGAAATACAAAGGTGTATCCATTTAACGAAAGTAGCCGGTAAACCCAGAGTAGTTAGGACATTCAAGAGGAAGCTCCACTGAACGGTATCAAAGGCCTTTGCGATGTCTATCATCATGGCACACCTGGATGGGCCTGCGCTCTTATGATAATCTTTCACAATCTCCGAAGCAAGCAGAACGTTTTTCACCAATAAGCGATCTTTAACAAAAGCAGACTGGTTAGGTGCAATGATACCTGGGAGGATACCTTTGAGCCGATTTGCCAGTATTTTTGATATGATCTTATAAAGTACGTTGCAACAAGAGATCGGACGATAATCTTTCATCGCTCTAGCATCATTCTTTTTAGGAATTAGAGCTAAGATTGTCGAGTTTATCCCCTTAGGAAGGAACCCAAACCTGAAGAAGGATTGAACAGCTGCGATCACATCAGTACCAATTACTTCCCATGTGTGCTTGAAAAACTCCGTAGTGAATCCATCAGGACCCGGAGACTTGTTACTTGGCATATTAAATAGCACCTTTTGAACCTCCTCCCCCGTGACCTCGCGAATAAGCAGTTCACTGTCATTACTACTGCATCGCGTGTTCAAAAGATTTTCGAGTGTTTCAACCCTACTCCAAGGAACTCCTCCGGCTGATGAGTTAGAAATTCCCTGAAGTGTCTTTCCGCCTCTCCCTTAATATCTACTGCTTCTCGCAAAATTGTTCCTTCAGGGTCAATAATCTCCCTGATCTGATTCTGGGATTGACGAATACATACTGCTCTATAAAATACTTTGTTGCTTTTATCACCTATATTCATCCAATGCAGTTTAGATTTTTGCTTCAAGTAACCTTCTTCCAACTCTGATAAATGTTCCCATCGTGTGAGAGCCAGTGATTCCTCCTGTAATCCTTGAGATGATGGATTCCTAGCATTCGACTCCTGAGCAGCACACAAATCAGCGTATGCCTCCTTTGCTCGCTTCGTAAGATTCCCAAACCGGCTTTTAGACAGTTCTCGGAGCTTAGGTTTCAGATCTTTCAGTTTTTTGGATAACCGATGTAATGCAGAGGTTGAATGAAATAAAGCAGGGGTTTGTTTCCAGTGCTCCCCTACCGCTGGCACAAACTCAGGCATTTTAGTGAGAATGTTCAGAAATTTGAAAGATTTCCGAGGACGCTGCTCCTCACTATTCAGAATTAAACGCACACGGAGATGATCAGACACTCCACCAGCTTCAAAAACAAAGTACGAATAAGGATGACTTAAAAGCCATTGCTCGTTCATCAAGACCCGATCAAGTTTTTTATGAATAAGCCCCTCATCTCTTTTGTTGCACCATGTGAGCCATGGTCCTTGGTGTCCCATATCCAACAAACCACACTGTCGTACAACATCCTGAAAATCCAGGGATCCACCAGAATCTGCAGCACCAGAGTTAGAATTTGAATGGTCCTCACTAGAGAGTATTTCATTAAAATCTCCACAAACTATCCACTCTTTATCCTTGCAGACTGTAGAATGCAGCATCAAAAGTTCCCTCCACAAGTCCTTGCGCTCCGATACAAAGTTCGACGCATAGATAAAACAACATACAATATCCTCAGCTAAATCCTCCATCGTAACCGAAACAGCAATTATCTGAGAACTTTTGTGAAGAACCGTGATCTTCACCTCCTCTTTCCATACCAACCAAATCCGACCAAGTCTATTTTGCTCATAATTCGATGCAAACGACCAACCCGGGAACACTGACGAGACAATCTTCAGGCTTTTGCCCTCCATTATTCGAGTTTCCAAAAGACATCCAATTGAAAAATTATTTCCCCTAACTCAATCTCGAACGACTGAATGTTTCGAACGCTTATTGAAACCACGTATATTCCAGAAAAACCCCGTCATTAATGATGATTTTTTTTTGGTATTCGTCTTTCCCCTCGCCTCTGCTACCTTACGACCTGTTGGTTGTGACTCAGCAGAGAGATACTTGTGCGCAGTTTTTGCAGCCCGAGTTAGAGGTGCCCGAGGACCCCCTTTCTCCTCATCTTTTGAAATCAGCTCTTCATCCACAGATGAGGTCTGATCCACCTCCGTAATATTGCATTCCTTATCCCTTCCACATTCCTCTTCCGCCTCACAATCGGTTTTATTGGCCCCATCATCAACCATTTCTCCCTCCTCAGCCTCATTCTCTATTAGAGCTAAAAAACGTGATCCCGAAGTGAAGCCCTCCTGTTCAGTGGGAGCCTGTTCTCAAATTATAAACTCATTGGGAGGTATTTTCTCAAATTTTCTCTTTTATTATTAATCTACATTAATGAAGTAAAAGAAAAGGTTGAGAAATTATCCAAATATCGATCCTAAGGTTGAGGAGCATGATACGATACAGCACTGGAGTTATTGATCCTGAGCTAAAAGAGAAGCCAAATAACCCTTTGGAGCAAGAAGAAACTACTGGGGAAGGAAGGAAAGACGATTCCAACATCTCAGGCCGAGACGCAGCCACCGTAGTTCAGATATTTTTAGCTTTTTCCCCTTTATTTCAACTAGAATTTTTACCACCCACTCGACATCCAGTATCTCTTCAATTTATACATATTAATAACCACTACAATTTTTTTTTAGTTTTTGAGTAAATAAAAAATCTCATGTCTTGTTTCTCTCCATCGCTCATTACTCTTATATAAAACGAAGTCTATCAATATACCATTTTTTAGGAGAAAAAACAAATCAGAGACCTTGTGGGGTGGGTACTGGGTAGACCTTGCTCAGCCAAAAAAAAATCTCTTTCTACATTCAATTTTTGTTCTCCAATTATTATAATTTTATACGTAAATTCTCATTCTTAATCTCATCTGTTTTCTCATGTTCTTCCATCTGATCATACAATCTCTATCATCCTCAACAAATTCTTCTTACTCTTCTCATATGCAGTATTTTCAATGGTAACAAATTTCACGGCTTACTTGTTTATCTCAGTTTTAACAGACCCATCCAATCCAAAATTTTAAGTTCTCGTTACATACATGAGCATAGCATTAGTTTGAGATTTTTACAAAATGTTTTAGACTTCCCTTAATATTATAGAGTCAAACATAAAATAATATTTTTAAGCAAGATCCATCACTTACTTAAGATGATGATGTCCACAAGGTATGCATTGCATTCAAGTCACTCAGGTTTGTTGACTTAAGTGATGTTTTATATAGTTCTCTTAGCTTTCCAGAGTCTCCGTATCTTCCAGAGTTCTGAGATTTGTTTGCTCCTTCCGCCTGTAAGGATAAGGAGAACATTCGCTTTAGAATGCACTGCAATTGGGCCCAGAATTTGGTGTAAAGTTCCAGGTCCTTGGTTTTCAATGATTCCGCATATGTTTTAGAAATGTTACGGCCCTCAAGAAGGCGAGACAAAGCTGACTCAAGCATCTGTAGCATGAACAAGAGAATGGTTAACGCAGTTGCATAATAAGTCATTCAACCGATGAATTGTTAATTGTGCAATTTTCAGACCTTAAAAAATCACATAAACACACACGAAATAAAGCATATCGAGCACTTACAATGTTTGATTGCCAGAAGTTTGAAAGGCTGAAGGAAAGAGCCGATCGCTCTATCAGGATTGTCAGGAACATGGAAGGATGATTCTTGGGGCCATAAAAATCCATTGACTTCTGCCAATTCCTTTCTGCCAGTAAAGCGTACTGCTTGGCTCTCTGGATGACATTAGTCTCAGGTTTAGGAGGACTTCCTTGATGACGCTCTGTCTCCAAAAACCTTAAGCAGCAATCTTTGTGATACCGCGCTAACTGAAGATAAGCAAAAGCAGCTTCCTGTTTGCGTATTTTCCCCAGAGATTCATATAAAGTCAATGCCTCTCTTATAGCATCACTGGCTGACACTTCATGTTTCCTCAAGTCCTTCGATCTTCCATCAGAAGAAGAATCATGAGTGTTTTCCAAGATGCTCTTTTGTCTACGACCTGCAGCAGTGGTTGTGTCGTCTTCCGCCAAAAGCATTCCAAATCTAAGATATGTATGAGCAAGCTGTGTGTAGACTTCAACATTTAGATCGTCTGGGCCTGAACTAGCCTTTTCAGTGGCAACAAGGAGTTCTGTCTTTGCTGCCAGATAATATTGTAGTGACTTGCTGTATTCTTGTTTTGCAGTGTTTAAAGCTTCTTGATAAGCATTTTTAAAAGCGGGATTCAATTTAAGAGCTTCAATCTTTGGAACCATTTCTTCAGCCAGAGCTCGTCTCCCGTGACCCAAGTTACAGTTGATTAGTATAACATTGGTATGATCGCAAACTTCCTTGAATGCCACTATAGCGTCAGCAAAAGCTTCTTCAGCTTTGTTGAGCTCTTTGCTTGCGAGACGGTTCCGACCAAGTTCATTACATACCCAACCTTTCTTTTTAATAACAGACTGGAACTCATTACAACCACTTGGAAGCTCTTGTAATGCTCTTTGAGTTTCCTCGTAACTATTTAAGGCAGCCAACAGATTGCTTTCTGCATCATCAGTTTTAGACCCCTTGAGATATTTGAATATTCCGCCTTTTTTTGCTCCTGGTGTTTCCTTCGAGTTGGATTCATTCTGCTCCAGAGTTACCACTTCCTTTGTTCCCACTGATGTATCTACTTCTTTATGGCTTTTGTTCTCAACCGTGAGATTAACACCATCATCTTCAGCATTTCGTGAGAGCCTGCTGGCGACATTCTTGGACTCTGATTTTTTACGGTTCTTCCTGCTATGAGGCACAGTACGAGCACTAGTTCCCTTGCTGCTGCTGCTACTTGCGTTGCTTCCACTGCTTGCTCTGTCACTCTTACAGCTGCAGTTTACTAATGAACAGGATGCACAATTTTTACTGTACTCTGTTAACTTTTTCTTGAGCCTTTGTACTTCCTTTAATACTTCGGACGGCATTCTCAAGTGATTTGTAGATGTCCCCATTGCTCTTTTGGAGATCTCCTGACCCTTTAGAACGTGGAACTGAACATATATATCACCAACCAACATCCATACTTTGGCCCAGAAGAGGCGTGTTGATGAAAGTTCCCCGAAACTGATTTCGGATTCTGCTTCTACAACTTCCACTTGCCTTGTTTCATGGGATTTTGACTGCAGTGAAAGAGACTTGCTCATCGAGGAAACAAAAAATGTCTCTTCAAACTTCTGCGGCATTGAACCATAAAGGGAGCAAGCTAATTCCATAGTATTCAAAGCTTGGTGTAACTGTCCATCCTCTTTGTAAGCTTCCCCCAAAGACAGATATGATTCACCGAGAAGCAGAACAAGGTTCCACAATTTCCTGTCTAGTTTAGATGTCGGAAGCCACTTACGGATATCACAGACTTCAATACAATCAGGATCACCACATCCACAGTTGGAAAAGTCGACAGAAGGCAATATATCATGAAAAGCACCTTCCGTATCTGAAGACTGCAGTTGGCGTGTCCACCTTAGAGACTTGATAGCTTGAGAAACATGGTGAATTGCTGCTAGTTTGGATGAAATGAGATTGGTTGTAGTCTGAAGCAGAGGTGTCGGAGCCTGGCATACATGATCAAGATCAAAACTAGTTTCCAAACATGAGTTCACGACAGAGCTTTCAGTATCAGGGGAATCTGGACTATCTGAACGTAATATTTCCTTGCAAGGTGACACATCTGCCTCCAACTTCGGCCTAACAGATATTAAAGGCGGTATATAGGAATCCTTAGTGAATTTTTCTTCCGAGAAAACCACTGCCTCACTTTCATGCTCAGCAGTAATAGGATCAACTAGTTCCTCTTCCAGATCTGTTATTTTGACTTCACGTTGCACATTATTACACTCAAAAGTCAAATCAACTTCATCGTCATTATTAAGAATGAGTCTTGCAAACTGCTCGTGTGCATATGCCCGAACAACCTATCCAGCATGGTATCAATAATGAGTACCAATCAAAGGTTTAAAAGGAAAACAGCTCAATGATATATATAGCAAAAAATCATCGTAAAGACCAATACCAGATGATCAGGCTCGTCCAAAAAATTCAAACAATTTCTGAGGAACCGAGCACATTTGGCCCTATCATTTGGCACCTGTAAAAGATGCAAAGTGTCAGAAAAGCAGTAGTTAAGTTCTTGTTGATGTTTAATGCAGAAAAACACTATGCTTCCTTACCACCGATAAAGAAAGCCTATGACCAACACGGTAAAGAAGATTTCCTAAGGAAAACAATGAGTCACTTCTCCCACTGTGAATCAAAGATGGCAATGGACTTGCACTATTGTTGTGATCGCTTGAAGAATGGCTCTTTGAAATAATGGTAAGATCAAATAGCTGGATCACATCTTCGTCAGCGCTTTTGTAAAGCTGCAGAGGGCATAATCAAATCAACTGGAGTTAGTAATGACATCAACTATAAATAATTCAAGCAAAGGAAAATATAGTTACCCAGTAAGCGCCAGGATCCTCTTTGCAATTTGTCTGAAGAAACCTTAAAACAGTAAGGCCGTTTTGCTGAACAACATGAGGATGAAAAGCAGGTGTACCATCCTCAGAGATGCCTTTGAGTAGAAATATATCATCTGTTTTCAAAAGCTCATACCCTTGTACAACACCATTCTGATGATAGCAAATCGCCAGCTCGGGCACACTGGCCATTACATTATCAAGCCAAGCTTCAAGCCAATTTAAAGGTGTAACCTGTGCGAAAAGAGAACAGTTAACAGAGTCCACTTAAAAAGATGAAAAACTAGAACCAATCAAGAGTAGAGCAGTAACCTGTTGGCTAACATCCCACAAATGCAAGCTTACAGCCAAATATTTCTCATTGCTGAACAGAAGCAGATCACTGCCTAAAAGCATGCGGAAGTTGTGGAATTGCCAAAACAGAACTCTTAAAAACTCATTGCTCCCACTTCTTCTGTGTTTCTCAGAGTCTTTAGTAGGCTTGATCTTTTCACTGATTTGAGTATTTTCTCTTATCCGCTCATGTGCCTTGTTTTTCTTGCTCTTCTTCTTTTCATAAATTAAATCATCATGTTTAAGTTGTTTACTACTCCCTGCAGGCTTGTCAAGTCTGTTCTCTGGATCACAATGGGAGTTCTCTCCTGCAGGGAGAGCAGAAGAACTCGACTGTCCCTCTGTATGTGGGCGATGAGTTGGGGGACAATCACACGCTTCCATCCTCACTGAATGCATAGCAAAGTTCAGAAACAAAGATTCGTCAACGTTTTTTGTACATTTTGGTTGATTGTTGTGCCTCCTAATCAGTTTCTCTCCCTCTTCAACATCAGGTCTGCATTACACAAGATAATCAGTTTCCCACTGAAGATTGCACGATTCTAAAAGAAACAGAATTGAGGTAAAAAACCCACCCAGGATTCAAGACAAGAGTCTGTCCAACACGCTGAACAGCTATGGAGACCCGAGCTTTAGAGTAAGGTATCTTAAAGATTTGTTTGAGAATGTCGACAGGTGCAATCACGTCTATCTCATCACCATATTCAACTAAACCCGACACAGCAAGAGCTTCACATTTCTTGCTTAGGTTCGAAGCAATAACATTAGCCTCCGTAGATATATCTGTAACGTCAAAACACAAGAACCATAACCACCTTCCAAATTACACTCGGGAGACACAAGTATAACATAAGCTCGTTTATTTTCTCTATTCAATATTCACAAAGTGTTTGCATAATCTTAATATTTCACACAAATGAGAATAAATTGAATACTCTAACTGAAGCTACACAAGCGCAATGTCCACTAATTGAAGAAACCTTAAGGAAACTTGGAAAAGGAGGAGAAAAATTAACATAAACTCTGTTTACTTCTCCATTCAATATGCACAAAGTGTTCACCTAATCGTAAGATCTCACACAAATGAGAATTGCACAGAAATTACTCAAAGGAGGAGAACAAAAATTACCTCCGGTGATCCTAGACAAAAATACTCATACTTCACACAAAAGTATAACATAAGCTCGTTTATATCTCTATTCCATATTCATAAGTGTTGACATAATCTTAATATTTCACACAAATGAGAATTGCAGAGAAATTGAATACTCTAACTGAAGCTACACAAGGGCAATGTCGACTAATTGAAGAAAACTTGAGGAAACTTGGTAAAGGATGAGAAAAATTAACATAAGCTCTATTTATTTCTCCATTCAATATTCACAGTGTTCACCTAATCGTAAGATTTCACACAAATGAGAATTGCAGAGAAATTGAATTACTCCTTTAGGACAAGAAATACCTCCGGTGATCCTAGACTTCATTGCGGCGAGGGGTAAAACCTCCTTGGGAAAATCGGTAAGCAAAGGAGGCCGGTTAAGATCCGTCTCCGTCGGAATCTTCCGATACCTCGGAGCATTCACTCTGCAACGACGACATAAGAAAAACAAAAGCTTCATACAAAGTGAAAGCAAAAACAGTATGTGAGGAAGTAGAAGATGGAACTAACGTTTCCGGAGATGGGAGGAGAGCAGAAGTGAAAGTTGGAAAGGAGCTATCGGCGAGAACAGGGATTGAGCCGCAGAGAAAACCGACCGGTTTAGGCGCGACGATCTCCATCGTCCCGACGCATTGCAAGTCTCTCGATCCTTCGACGGAGATCGGAAGATAAGGTAACGGCATCGGCGGTGGCTTTTGAGCAACCGATTGCTCCATATTTGATTTCGGAAGTTATATCTTCTCGGGAAGACGAAGAGAATCTGCAAATTTTCTCCGGCGAGTATTCGAGAACCCTGTAGAACAGCTACTAATTCTTAAACCTGAGTTAATATAATAGATTTGATTAATTATAATGAACATATTATAGGTTTATAAACTCTGATTGTCTTTGTCGGTTCCCCTAGAACGGCACTCGTCTTATGCAAATATCAACTCAACTCCATGTTTTTGACCAAAGTCGATAAAAGCATACATAATATTTAGGAAAACGATCTATTTCTCCCTGAAAATTTTCATATAATATCAGATCCCCCAAAGTTTGAGCCTCGTTCTATTTCCACATTCGATGAAAATTCGAATTCTATTTCCCCATAAAATGAAAGTTCGAAACTCATTTTCCCACAATTGTCTGTTTTATTGGACAATCACACGCTTCCATCCACACCTCCTACACCCAAAAATTAAACCAATTTTAGAAAATCTAACCGTAGCCCGTGTTAAATGTAATTCAAACCCAGAAAAATCCCAAATCGATTGAACTCTTAGAACCCTAAAAACTAAATTTTCCCAAATTGAAATTTGAGAAAGAGATTTTAAGATCACGAATTGTTTACAATCAATTGCTGTGATGTAATAACAAACTTAACGTATATTTTTATTTAACTAAGAACAAAGCACAAGAGATGCTGTTAACATAAGAACTTCACCAGAGGCCATTATACTGGTGAGAAACCCCTTCCTGCTTCTTCTAATTAAGTTCTTAATAAGGTAAGGATTCTGAAAATGACACTTTAATCTGATTATAATTGCAGTTGGGAAGGAGATTGTGGACCTTTGCCTTGACTGTGTGAGGAAAATTGCCAACAACTGTATTGGTTTGCAAGGGTTTTTGGTGTTTAATGCCGATGGTGGAAGAACTGGTTCTGGTTTGGGCTTTTGTTGTTAGAACATTTGATTTCTTAGATAAGATTATCGATAGGATTATCTATTTCTCAGAGTTGTGAAATTTGATTTTTGGTTTCAGATTTTTAAGGTTCTTGAGATTTATGGTTTCATAGTTTTAGAATTTTTGGGATTTCTGGATTAATGTTTGTATTGGGAATTTTAGTTTCGGGTGGGGTTTATTGTTTTTCTCGGGTCGTAATTAGATTCAGAAAATTAAATCAGGTTTAGACTTATTAAATCAGATTATATTTGGTTATTTTTGGTTTTTTTGTTATTCAGTTGGTTAAGTGTTGATTGGTATACAGTAAACCAAGTTAAATTATGGTCAATGAAAAAATAAGTTTCGAACTTAGTTTGTGTGGGGAAATGAGTTTCGAACTTTGATTTTATGGGGAAATGGAATTCGAACTTTCATCGAATGTGGAAATAGAACGAGGCTCAAACTTTAGGGGAATCTGATATTATATGAAATTTCTCAGGGGAAAATAGACTGTTTTTCCTAATATTTAAGAGAATAAACTAAATGATTAAACATGTATTTGACGCGTGAGAGAAACTGTGACATCCTATCCCAGGCTTCCTAGAGAGAAAGTGAAATAGGGCATGTTAGGTCGGCTATCTAACCGTATTAGGACCGCATTCGGTCAGACGCCTGGTTTGGTCCAGTTGGTGAGCCTCAAGTTTGCCAGGTTCGAAAACGCTCAGGTAGCAATCAACAACATAGACATAGGCTGATCTTTCACCTACATCTAATAAAAAAAAGGAAGGGGAAGGGTGAGTAATGGGGATTACTCAGTGAGAACCAGACCAGACTACCTTCCCACTCATTTATTTTCAACTAACATGTCAAGAAGAAATCCAATAAGCAACACACAAGCACCACAGCGATGCACAAACAACTAACAAGCAATTGTGATATTTCCAACCCGCCCATCACACAATGCCATACCTCCCAGTCACACCGACTTAGGATACACACATCTCCCATGTCACACAGACATAATACCAGGCGGTCACACAGACATGCCTCCAGCCATACAGGCTCCGAAAGGATCGGCGTACCTTCCCCCATCGTTGAACTACCGCTATAGTCACACAGATAGCAATAACCCAGCAAACAAGTCCATACCTCGGCACATCACCACCGAGATGGACACCTGATCTAACTACACTACCAATCACTAACCACACACCAGGGTGAACAATCAAATATGCTGGTTCTTCCTCTAATGAGATCCTAATTCATTTCATTAAATTTTCACATGGATCTAGCTAGATGCACAAGAAAACATCCTAGGCTCATCAGATCTAGACCCCACACACCAGAAGAAGACAAAATGAATAAAAAGAAGACCCTAAATCTAATCCTTATCCTAGCAACAAAGCAGATCTGGAAACCCGACACTAGAACGGCGATATCTCCTTACTCAGATCTCCGATCGGGACGATCTTGGTCTCCGAAGAAAGATGACACTTGGGGCTTCGATTTGATATATTATACGTCACGTGGAGCTTCACAGATCGCCAGGAAACAGTCTCAAAAGTGAACGGCGGATAGGGTTTAAGAGAGAAGAAAGAGAGAATGAAGCTGATGAAGGAGGAGAGAGCAGCGGCCAAGGGAGAGAGGAAGAGAAAGAGAGCCACGGTGTGAGAGAGAGGAGGAGGATGGCGTGGCTGAGAGAAAGAGAAGAGAAGATGAGAATGTGGCTAGGGTTTCCCAAAATGGAGAATGAGAGATTAGAGAGGTACTTATAGTTAGGATTAATTTAGATGGGCTGAACTTAGTGGGTTAGATTAATGGGCTCGCATGAGATTAAAAAAAAATTAAAATTGGGCTTAATTAAGAATGATGGTTTAATTTAAATAAACCGAAAATTGATTTTAATAACAACCGACCCGGCGGGTCGGGGTGTTATAGAAACGATGGAAAATATAATGAAAGTATCGGATGGCAGCGAACAAAAACCTGGTCGGTGAATCCAAAGAGAGTTCTAAGATCAGATCAGAATGTTCGTAGCAATTAATCACTTAGTTTCGATGAATGAACGATGAATGGACATTCAATATATAAGTCGTTTAGAAGGCATGCATATTTTTTTTCTTTTGGTTGGTTCTCCTTACATCGTACTCCCTCTGTTTTAATATATAAGTTGTTTTGAAGATTTATTTTGTTTCACAATATAAGTTGTTTTAAAAATTCAATGTAATTTTTATTTTTGTGAGAAATTGTGTAGCTAATTATATTTTGAAGTTTTAACTTATATTTTCTGAAAAAAAAATTTTCTGATTTTTTGTGTTTTTAACCAAACCAACTTATCTATTAAATCAGATGGAGTATTTAAGTATGGATCAGAGAGCCTCCGTGTTGTTTCATGTTTGTCGTGACCAAACATGTCAATATCTTTTTTTTTAAATTATTTTTCGCCCATCTTCTTCTAAAATCTTCTTTAAAATGATGTTAACGTGTCAATATCTGAAATATGTCTACATCAATTTCAGTACCAGTAATTCAAGATATGTCTCAGAAAGAAAAACGATAATGGAAGAAATGTGATAGCTGTGTTGCCTCTTTTCTATATTTTTCTCTTTGTGTGTTCATATTGGATCATTGTAACCATATTTCTTGTCTTCTATGGAGTCTTCTTTCAGTGCCTATTGTGGTGCTGCCAGTGTTTTGTCCTTGAGTGCAATTTGATTTATTTTACGAACCAATTATCCAAATTAGTATGAGATTGATTGATATGGTGTATTCAGGGAAGTCTATTATTAGCATGTATGGTTTGGAGATGTAACATAGATTCTCAATCCAGGGATAGGAGAGTTTATGATTAATAGAGAAGATAGTCGGCGATTTTGGGTTTTATGTTTAAATTTCTTCGATGATTTTACTATGCTTGATATGACATTAATGTAGAAATAACCACCTTGGAAACCGCCATAAAAAAGACGAGGGTTTGGAGCAGAAAATTGTCTCTCTGTTTCAAATATTATTTCTTTTGATAGATTTTGATAGAATCAATAAATTGAATTCTTATTCGAAAAATATTTTTTGTCCATAATTGGAAATAGATTGATGTAATACAAAAAAAGAGATAATAGCCGAAGAAATGAAAAGTGGAAATTCTCTTGTCGAAGAAATTAATAGTCAAAATTCATTTTATTCTATATGTATGTTTGAATTTTATATCGATTGGGCTCGTATCGATTTGGCTTTCTGCGTTGGCACTTGGTAGACATGTGGGCCTATTTAGATAAGCTGATAAGTAACCACTTTGTGGAGAAGATAATTTGTCGTCGAGTTTTTTAACATTAAGTTGGGATTTTGAAAATCTTTGTGGGTGTCATGGCAAATCTAAATGCTTTGATTGGTGGAATATTTTTCTGAATATTTCTGCATACATGGCATAGATGAGAGGCCAGCAAAGTAATCCTTTTTATATAAAGGAGATTCAAGTGAAATGTACTAAATAAAAAATTATTGATCTAACTGAAAATTAATCTGAAATATATTAAATTGTGTAGTTTAACAGAAGTTAACCTGAAAATAAACCTAATTGATTAACTTAATTAGTATGATTTTTACATAACCAAAATTAAACCAATAAATTTAACCTAACCAGAAAATATTAACTGCCATATAAAATGAGATTTTACATCAAAGGCATTGTTTGTTGGTTAAAAAAAAAGAAACTCCTAGCTCTCTTCCCCAAGTGACGATTTTGGCGCTCGTTGCCTGTTGCCTCTTGTTTGCCACAAGATTTGTCGCTACCTGCCTCCACCAAAAGTAAGCCCTTATTCCTCCCTCTTCCTCTTCTCGACTTGTTTTCACAAATTTAGTTTTTTTTTTTATATATATGTTGTTGCCATTGGTTTGTTTATTCTTTGCTGCAAACATATAGTTATGTTAAAAATACACTGATAGCTTATTTTAAGGAAGAATAAGCAAATCCACAGCAGCAACAGATCTGAAAAAAAAAATTATTTAAAGGAAGCAAGTTGCCGACAAGGAGGAAGATGGAGGAAGCAAGAAAGAGGGTTTACCATATCGCAGACGCATACAATACAGATTTCTGCTGAAAATTTGTGGATCAGACTTCATATACTATCTACAGACTTCAAACAAAGTATGCAGGTGAGTCTGATAAAAAAAAATCAGGATATTTTTGCATTTGACCAAAACATTAACTTTAGAAAAGTAGACTTCAAGTAAAGTTTGTGGAAAAAAAAGAGTTACTTTGGCATTTGACCAGAATTTGACAAGATATTGGCTTTTTTAGACTTTGGTGAAGTCTGCAACTCCAAAAGATTTCAAACAAAGTCTACTCTAAAAATCGAGAGCTAAATTTGCAATTAACCAAATTTGACTTTATTAGACTTTGGGTGTTGTCTGTGATATTTCAAACTTCACCCGAACTCTACTCAGAAACCAGGAAGTTAGTTTTGTATTTGACCAAAATATGAAATTAAATTAATTGTCAATTTTGCATGAAATCTACTCAATTTTTTTGAATTAATGCACACTTCACACGAAATAAATTGGAAATAAAAGATAGTTTTCCACATTTTTGTCTATATACACCTTTAATTTTGTAGGTATAATTTAGACTAAACTACCCCTAAAATTTTAATACCGATTTATATATATAAAAAGGAAAATAAGTATATTTAAGGAGATAAAAAATTGTAATTGTCCCAAAATGATTGATAGAAATATTTTAAAAAATATTTTATCATATGTTCTATGAATGGTAGAATATATATTATACAATCTTGCTATGTTCTTCAGAATTTTAGAATACTTATTCTATCAAATAAATCTTCTGCGAGTTGTAGAACGTGTCTTTTCCGGGTTCTCTGTGTTCTAAGACAGCATAGAATACTCCATTTTTCTCTGTTTCTTCATGCTATCTTCTTCACTTTCTTCTCTATTTCTTTTTTTTTTCACGTCTCTGTGACATATTGGATACATTTCAAAATTTCAAATTATTATGGTGAAAATTTTTGAATCTAACTTTTATATAAAATTTTAATAACAGCCA